TGTAGTAGTAGTATAGTAGTACATGTTCTTGGATGATGTTGGCTACCTTATAGAAGAGCTTTACTTCTACTATGTCCAATAAAGTTAAACATGTTCATCTACATTCCATGCATCATGATCATTACATGTCATCTCTCTGATGCACCTATGTATGAGCACTTAGACATCTGCATCATACAGGATCGCAGGAGGAGTTGCTAGTCACAGTTCAAGAAGAGCAGACCGGGACAGATCCACAAGAAATTCAGGCACAGGAGGTGCCAGAGGAAGAGGAGCAAGGAGAGGACTTGCCCGAGTGCGTGGATCATCAACCTAGTTCGTTCGAACGAGGCAAGCCCCAGAGCATTATAAGTCTCCCTATTTTAATAATGTCACTTAAAGTTATTCGTATTGCTGCATTACGTGACAGGAGTTGTTTGGAAACACTTGCTGCATATTATCTTCCTTGACCAGAAATATCTACCATGAATTCTATTTAAGTCCAGGAACGTTTATCATGCTTAGCTCTGCTTAGACCAGTAGAAGCCGGGTGATTTCCTGTCACATGCGAGCTATAAGGTGATAACTTGATCACGGTTGGCTATATTGTGCTATCGTGGAACATAACCTGGTAATGTGGAATAAATGGAGACCGGACAGAGTCTTATATGTGGTATTGTAGTGATTCCGTCTGTGTCGATTAAGGACCGATCGTTGCTCGTCCCTCTTGTCATGTTGAATGCATGCCTCATATTTAGCTGGCCGAATAAAGTACCTTTCGACCGCGAAGCTAGTGACACTTTTCGAGCCGGGATAAACTCGGATTGGCAGACTGGTGCTGAAGGGGGTATGACGGGGACGCGAAGAGTGAGCCCAAGGTGCGTCCTGGCTGTCGGACGGTCCCTGGGTAGTGCGGTCCATGACTGTTATCCCGCGGCTACTTGGAAAATGTCATTGGTGATCTGTAGCTCACTTGATCGGTGAGTGTGGTTTATGTGAGGAATAAATCACCAGCTGGTTAGGAATCGATTCAAATCGCCAACGCTCCTGGATAGTGAGCACTTGACTCGAGCTACGGCATCGTAGTAATTATGATGGAACACTGATGGTTATCTGGATGGTATGGGACATGCTAAATCTAAGATGGTAATTGGATGTTATTGGTTAATTAAGTGATTGCTATAGTATAGGTGCTTACCTAGATGGATAGGTCCTAATAAAGATGATGCAAAGTATTTAAAATGGTTTCTTTATGATAGCTTATGCTTTTCGCAAATAAGTCAGCTAGTCCACTAAAGAAAGCCTTGCATAATCCTTGGTGTCGTTTTATTTTGGTTTAAGACGGGTAAGTCTAGCTGAGTACCTTCTCGTACTCAGGGCGTTGTTCCCATTGTTGTTGCAGATGGTCAAATGTACTACGGCTATTGCATTAACTGTCTATACCCGACGATGGGTGACAACTAGGACCAAGGACAATGGTCACTCCGTATCTCTCATCTGATGCTTTTGTTGGAGATGACTACCTACTGGCACTGTATCTAAACCAAAAGTGTGTGTGGCTTTAAAACTATTTGCTTCCGCTATTTCAGTTTGAACTTGGATTGTAATAACTTTATGTTTTAAACTCTGATGTATCCACTGTCATTGCGAACTTTATGTAACATGTGACGGTGACTGCTAAACTTGTACGATCTTGGTTTGTATGTCGATTGGTTTGAAATCCTTCGTGGTTTCACGGACTACCGGGTTATACGGGCTTAAGTTTGCTAAATTATCTGCTTCGGCGGAAGATTTTCTTACTTAATCTCGTATAATTGGTCGATTCTGTTACACGGATGGCCTGTCTGCTCTCCGTTTTATTCAAGGTTGAAGATCACAGGACAAGATCATCTAACTAACTAGTAACGTCTGTAGTAGATTGTGGTGCACGGTGCACTCCCTACCAAGTGTTACACACCAAACTTAACAATAAATGCCATAGAATGACAATGCATTTTTGTAATGCCAAACAACAAAAGCTTACATCTTACTAGTTTTTGTTTCTTGTATTGGACCATTATCACACTACACTACATGAATCAAATTATTTTCATAATAGGATTCTTTTTCAGCGTGTTTTTTTCTTTTTTGCGAGAGAAAGAGTGCATTCATTCATCAACAGAGTAATTACATTCTAGTTTCGGAAGCTCACTAATACAAAAAGGAAAGTTTTCTCTCCAGACCGCACTATGCAAAGTACGTCTTGCTAATTGAGCTAATTCACGAGCTACTACTCTATTGCACTCTCTCCCAACTTTTGGTTTGTGTCTTGATATCTGTCACCGACTCATCCCACAAGAGAACTAGACCATCGGACAGAGTCATTCCTCACGAAACTGCCGAACGACCTTGTGCTGCATCAAGTGACTCCGCATAGGATCACGTCTCTAAACCAAACACGTTGTTTGTCACCGAAGAACTATATGTCATTTCATTAAAGCATAAGATTTTAGGTTTACAAAGACGCCACGCAATAACAACAGCTAAACAACTTGGAGGGGTGCAAGCTCACGCTAGCTAAACACGTTTACTAGGTACAAACAATCCCTAAGATTGACAACTAGACTTTTATAACAACTAGTATAATGCCCGTGCTAACGCTACGGTAAAACACAAAACAAAATTCATTAAGATTCACATCTTATATATTGACCAAATATTTTTGTCATAGTAAAATATATGAGTCTACAATTATACCGTAATAGCAAATCATTGAGCGAAAGATAATTTTATCTCTAATTTGAAGAATAAATATTGTTCTTTCAACCAAACCATCCAAAATACATCAAAAGAAAATTGATCATCCTATAAATTTTGTAAGCATCAATCAGTGACCGATACAAAAGGATCATGTCTAACATTGATGAATATTAGAATAAATTTACATACCACTACTTTGTGAATAAAATAGTTCTGATTGCCTCCACTGCCGGCATGTGCTAAAATCACCCGGCATGTGCTTACATGATCAACAAAGCAGTAAAGCACCTTAACCCTTATCCTGAAGGCTTTCATATGCAATTTTGACAGCATCCAGCTTTCCCTGTTGAAAAGGAATCGGTTTTAGGCTGCAGTAGATGAACAAAAAGGAAATTTACCAGAATTTTGACAATGGTCAGACTAATGATGACAAGGAGCCAGACCAAAAACCAACATCACGTCGAGGATGAAAAAGTAGTGTATTATCTCAAGATATAATTCCAGATTGGTAGTAAATCATTTCATATTTGGCATATTATCAGATTCAAGCAGATAAAAAGTAACACCACAATTAAAAATACGGAGTATGCAGAACATACATTGACTATGGTCCAAGTATACTGCCTGTGCTAACGCTATGGTAACATTTAATAGTGCAAATCAAACAACCAAAAGACGAAATATACAGTCCCGAAGAAGCAGATTTTAAGCCAACGTGTCACAACATGTATTAGTAATAAAGCATAGATGAAATATATTTAAAATTCACATAAAAACGAACAACTGAAAGAGTAAAACAGGAAGGTATCTTATTTCTAAGGTTGAATAAAAAAGTTTTCATCGAACTTGATTATGTAATTGCTTATTAATTCAGTTGGACTTTGGATCGAACCTTTCCTGCTGGAGATCAATCTTGATGTACCTAGGTGTCCTATGATTTTTTAATAGGAAGATTTGTTTCATTTGTTACATTGATCACCATAATGCATGATGAGGTACAGAGGTCAGAAACATACCATTTTGTGCTTCCAGATAATTATCAGGGAGTGTCTTTCTTCAAGATTATTTTACCCATGAGGATTATTGAACAATAGGACAAAAAATAAATCTCTTCTCAAAAAATCATGAGCCAAAGTGAACACTTAGTATCAAACACCTTGTATCTCAGTAGGAGAGGATCCTTCTGCACTTAGCATGTCCTGGAAATCAATACTGGGTTTCAACGCCCGAGCTAACGCTATGGTAAAATACAAAACAAGATAAAATTTGTACAAACTACCGCCAGTCTCTCTCACTTATGAGCGGTCCTAGCGAAGAAGCGAGTCGATAGAGGTGGCGTCCGGGGACAAGGACCTACAATCGCTGCTCCAGAACTGGTGGTGCAATATTAACACCAATGCTTGCATGAGAAGGACCCGTGTGGTTTTAAAAAATATTGAGAACATATTCGAGTAAATGAATCATCCAAAAATAGGGTCATTGAGCACCAAAATTACAAGAGTTAATAGGTCCATCCATGTTCTAAAGGAGTATCTGAAAAGTTTATTTAAACAATATATCATGTAGGCAAAGGTAAAATAGCTAGCAACCTACAACATATCATGTGCATATATGCGCAAAAAAAACATATCATGTGCATATATGCAGAGAGCAAGCCATTTAATCAACTTTCAGTATGTAAAATTTTTCAATCTCCTATAGCCCAAACTGAGAACAAATTCTTTTGTTGCATATATAAAAATCTAAACTTGCCAGCAATTGTAAGCTGCATAGTAAAATTTCTGAAAAAAAAACAGTGTGAAAAAGAAGCTAGAGGTACCTGCAGATAGCCCTGGACCTCATCTACACCTTTGTTGCCACCATTTATCCAATTTTCAATCTGTACAATTTTTTATTCGCTTATAGCCCGATCTGATAACAAAGTATTTTGTTGCAGAAATAAATCTGAACTTAAGAACAAATGTAGGCTGCATATAAAAATTTTGGAATAAAACAGAGTGAGTGAAAAGGAAGCTAGAGAATGAAGCATGTACGTTGTAGACTAAATCGTGAACACTTGGTGTGCTTGTAAAACACTGCGGTTTTAAAATCTTAGTGCCATTGATAAATAGATTTTTGAAGTCACAGCTCTATTGCTGGTTTAGCAACATCTCCATTCTATTTCAATTTCATAGATGAAAAAATGGTCATGGGAGTGATATACAAGTTAAACAGACTTTCGAATTCAATTGTTTTTCATGGTGTGGTACAAATCTCCATAGACAACAACTCGAAATGAAATTTCACATGCTTCGTAAAGATCCAGCCATCCTGCTGAATCTTCCAAAGAGCCCCGTTGAAGCAGATGTCTTCTCAATTCTCACATATGGAGCCAGCAGCCCCACAAGTGCAATATCAACTGCTACACTAACAAGAAGGTCAGCAACATATAGTTCAAACTCTGCCCAAAAATCCTTTCTCCTCTTCTGCACCTCCGCAAATGTCGTGCAGCAAGAGTCGATCACAATCTGCATTCAACCCATAACGCAATTGTTAGCAACAGCAGAACTACTATCTTCTGACCACTTGAGAAAATAACTGACCAACCGCACCCACCTCGGTGCCAACTTTGAATTGTATCTCATGCCTCAAAATTTAATAAACAAATTTCATACTGAAACCTATGCAACCATGCAAAGAGCAAAAGCCTTGTATGCGCTGGCATACAAGGTACCGGAAGCATAGCATTTAATTAATATAAATAACTTGAGATACTTAATATGTCACACAAGCAAGGATCTAATCTTTAGTTAGTCTGGAAAGTTAATCCACTATTGCAAGCTGTAGTGACATTTGACAAATGTGAATACATGCTACACCTGCATCATGAGAATGAATTGCACAAGGATTGCCTCCACGCTCAGCTACCCAAACTCCATGAAACCACATGACCTGTTACAACAGCTAGTTAGCAATTAAACAAGGATTAAAATGTCTGAGATCAATCAATAATAAACCCAATAACACACCAATAAGACACCCAGCAAACTGCTGCTGGTAAACTGAAAATTGCAGAACAGAAACTTCACCTAGCATCAGGCCATGAATCAAGCTCCGCCTAGCGGGTGAGGGCAACGCTAGCTCGTCGACGGAGGCGAGCCGGCGGACCAGGAGGCGAAGGACGCGTGGCGGGTCGAGGAGGGATCACAACTCAAACAGTAAGAGCATAACATGATCAGACAGTTAAGCATAACATGATACTATGATACGGATTTCTGAAATTAAAAAACACAACCAACAACCTATCAACACTAATACGCGGAAGTATAGTTTATTATGACTACAATCCACAGTGCAATCCAACCTTCAAATGAATATGCGGAAGTAATGCACTTGATTTGATCAAGTCTAACCTGTTTTAATAAGGCCTTGTTTAGTTGACAAACTTTGGATGTGCAAAGTTGGCAAAATGTACTGTAGCGAAACTGTAGCATTTTGTTTGTATTTGGTAATAATTGTCCAACCGTTGACTAATTAGGCTCAAAATGTTCGTCTCGCAAAGTACAACCAAACTGTGCAACTAGTTTTTAATTTTGTCTACTTTTAGTATTCCATGCATGTACCGTAAGTTTGATGTGACGGGAAATCTTCTTTTTGCATAGTGCCAAAGTTGGGAGTTTGAGAGGAAATAAACAAGGCCTAAATTAAGCTACAATTGAATCAGATGATAGTAGTAGGACGGAATATTGACCTTGATAAGTGTTGCCACAAAAGTTGAAGGGAGATAGAAGATGTGTATTCATTCCATTGGGCACATACATATACCTCTGTAGCTGAGTCTTGAAAGGATGCCAGTTAGGGTCCTTATATCGGAAAAAGACAGAAAATTTCTGTGTGTCAGCTTCTAGCTGTTATCCGAAAAAGACTGAAATCAGGTTCGAACTTGATCATACCTGTCTTGCATGTTTACTGGACCAAAGCCTGCAAAAGAAAAGCAGCTGCTAGTACCAACAAAAGAATCGACACCATACTTCAAGATTGAAGACTAAATAATGGACCCAAAAAATGCAAGAACAAATCATACAAGAAAAGGATGAATCTCCTGTAATAGGTGCGACTGCTCCTGCAACCACGAAATTAGGACCAAATCGTGGGGGGCGCACTGAAGAATCCTGAAGTTAGAGAACTTCCTGACGAAATCAAGAAAATCAGAGGAAATTAGAGAGGGAGAGAGAGATGGGGGTACCTGCACTGAAGAATCGTGGTCCTGGCTGCTCGTCCGCCACCGCCGAGCACACATCGGAGCCAGGGCGGCGCTCGAGCCCATGGCCGAGCACGCAACCACGTCGGCGCTCGCGCCCACGGTCGGCCTGGGTAGCCGCAGCATGCGCGGAGGGAGGAGGCGGCCGGGTCCACGGCGGCGGCGGCGGGATCAACGGTTGCTCGGGCCCTGATGCGTTTCCTTTTTTTTGTTCCGTGCTTTTATTCCGTGCCCGCTCGCAGCCTTCGATCCTGTGCTGGCCACGGTGTGCGCGTGGGGCGCGTTTGAAGCCGCGCGTGCGTGCGGGTCGTGGCGTGCGGCGTGCGAGGAGGGCGCGGGTGTGGGAAGCCTGGCATCCGCATCTAACGGTGGTTATCGGATTTGATTTACGTGTCTTATTAGCCTTTGATTTTAATAAAGATAAATTACTATATGTATTTTTTTTTGGTGCATAATGGTTGGAGGCTCTCAGCGATGGATTTTTTCCTGGGGACCTAGTATAATTTTAATTAATTCATTATAGTAGAGATGACAAGCTTGTTATAAAAAGAAAAGAAAGTGGAAAAGTAAGGAAATAAAGGAAAAGAAAAATAAAACAACGGCGCCTTTGCAGAAATGGTAATGGATGCATCTATATGTAATATAATTCTTTGATTTTGGTGAAACGCACTGTTCCTCCCGTTTTACAAACTCAAATTCACTATTCATCCACAGTTCTCTGTCACTAGCCGTTCGATCCTCCCTCCATGCGCTGGATGGCCGCCACGGGTCGGCTGCACCTGCCGCCGCATCACTGTCTTGCCGCAGAGACCTGAAGAGTGAAGACTGAAAGTCAAGCAAAAGCCCATCCCTGTTCTGTTGGCTGGGGAAGGCTGTTTGTTACTTTGTTCACGCCGGTTCGGCAGCGCCGTTCCCTCCGCTCGGCGCCGGCCATATAAACCCTCGTCCTCCAACCGGCAAAGACACCACTTCTCCGACCCTCCAACCCCAGGCAAACTGCCATCCGCGCGCGGAGTCCCGCTTCCGCCGCGAGCCTGGGCGCGCGGCGTACGACATTGGTGGTCGCCCGCCCCGCGCCTCCTCGTCTCCCTCCCCCTTCTACACCCCACTGCGTTGCCTGGTGCCACGTGGTGCTGTGCTTCGCTGCCCCAGGAAGATGAGGTTAGTGTTCCGACTTCGGAAGGTGCAAAGAACTACTCCGTGCACTACCGTGTCGTTGCTTGATGAGTTCTTGCGTGGGGTTCTTGGAGTATCTGGTGCAATACAACTGTGCAGGGCTTTGGTTGGGTTCTGGAGATGGGTTCTTGGACCTAGGGGGCGTTCTTGGTCGGGGATGAGCAGGTTTATCTCGTCTTTTCTTGCGCTGCTGTGATTATTGGGATGGTCTGGCTGACTAGCTTGATTGGAGGAGTAGGATTTGGTGAGCTTTGGTTGGATTCTGGAGAAAGATTCTTGGAAACAGTAGTTCTTGATCATTGGTCCGTTCTGGCATGTTAAGAGATGTTGGTGGTTTTTGGTGGCAAGATTAGAGTTGCTGAATTCTGCTAGTAAAACCAAATCCAGTCGGTTCTTATATTTGGAATGGCAAAATGGGGAAAAAATGAATTCGCACAAAATGCCTGTTATTTAATTGTTTGGTTGAGGCAGAGAATGATGCAATGTTTTCGTTTTCGCGTGCACTACTGTTCTCCATTCCTGCTGGTGTCGTCTTCTTTCGATTTTCCAAAAAAGAACCGCCTGCATTTGTTACTGCGAAATCTTCCTCTGCAATGAGTTTCATTGTTCCAACATCTTGTTATTGCTGAAGGAGACAAGACATGGAGATAGATGAATGTAGGAAGCTGTTGCTAAATAAGGCGCTGCAGATTAATGCACGGAACGCCCAAAGGTTTGTTGACTACATCGTCAGTCACAGATTGCCTGCAGAGATCAGACAGTATTCATCTGCCTCCATTCAGCAATTGCGCTCCCTGTTCTGTGAGGTGATGAATTACCTTGAAGCCCACCCACCGAGACAAGAAATTGATATGGATGAATATAGGAAGTTGTTGCTGAATAAGACCCTGCAGATTGATGCACGAAACGCCCAAAGGTTTGTTGACTACATTGTCAGTAACAAATCGCCTGCAGAGATTGTACGGTATTCATCCGGCTCCATTCAGTAAGTGTGCTCCCTGTTCCGTGAGGTGATGACTTACCTTGAAGCTCACCCACCACAATTCCAGCAGTTACCCCTGCAGAAGCCACCTTCATGGGGACATGGTCATGGCTTACAGTTCCCTCAGCCTCAGTTGCATCCAAGCAGCAGCTTTCCTGGAAATCAGGCTCAAGTCCCTTTGCCCCATGGGCAACCTCAGTTTGACCCTAGATTCAGTTTTAACAGAATACAGCCACCATTCTTCCCGTTCAGTCCAATTGAAACAGTGCACCGTGGTCAGCTTCTGTTTTATCCAAGCAGCAGTATTGATGGAATTCAGCCTCCATTGCTTCCAATTGGTCAAATTGGACAAACGCTGCCTCAGATTCGTCCAAGTGCAAATTTTAATGAGATGCAGCCGCCATTTCCCCCCAATGTTCATTCCAATGCTCTACAGAGCGCTGATCGAAATGCTTCGCTGAGTGTTGCTGGAGATTCATCCAGAAGGTCCCAGCGTTGTTATAATCACTTCAATGGTGGTTGTCAAAATCATAAGTGTCAGTATTGTCACTGGTCTTATCTTGCTGGGCTGAAGTACGAGTTGCCAAATCACTCCCTTGAGACATTGCCCTTGTTGGGAGAAGAGATCAGACAGCTCCTTATTTCACAGCGACCATCAGTAGTCCCAATTGAGCATCTGCCAATGATATACTTTGCAAAGTATGGGAAGTCTCTGTTTGTCACGGACTTCAAACCAGAGGTGCGGCAGCTTGGGGAAAAGGGTAGTTACAGCCTCATATGTCTGCTCATGAGGCTTGATACTATAAAAGTGATTGAGAGGTTTCATCTCATCTTATGCATCTCTGCTATTTTCCTTTCAATATTTATTTATCATGTTGCATAACATCTTTAGTCTTAATTTGCAAACACAAAAATGTTTCATGTTTTAATTAGTGTTTCACTGTGATTACTGTTGTTTCAACTTCAGCGATGGACAACAATGTGATTCCAAATTGGTGCTTGCTCCTCCAAATCCAAGGCATAGAGTTACAATTTATATTGCCTTCTCTCGTCAAAGCACATTCACTGAGGTGCTTGGAGCTACTTCAGGTATTGCCATATGACTTTATCATGATATTTCTGCTGTATTGTTATGAAGTTGTAGCTAATATTATCATGATATTTCTGTCAGGAAGTTTGGCCCTGTCACTTTTCTGAAAATCCTAGGGGCCACGAGAGGTTGGGTGAGCTTCCTGTATCCTGAGACTGTAGAACTGCTATTATCAGAAACTAGAAGTAACCGTCACTTGATACTTGGAGCACTAGTTCATATATTTTCCTCCATGGAAAAACTTGAATGGAAGTAAGTATCTAATGCTTGTTTGTTTTCTGTTACATGCTCTTCCATTTTGTACTACCACACAAACTACTAGCATCATCATTAAAACAATATCTCATGTATGTTTGCTCATTCAGGCCTAGAATATTTTATGGCTGTCTTCATTTTTCCTAAAAAGAAACTGTTTTCCTTCGAGTTTTGCAGATAAGTTACTGGCTAAAGACTATTTAATTTTTGCTTCATTGGCGGGTTTTCAAGTAGTAAAAAGTGTAACGAAGATCAAGGCCCCTTCCTCTATGACACTGAACTTGTTTTCCTGTAGCAATCATGCGTGATTCAGAGCTTGATTTCCATGCTTTGCTGCCCGTAATCTTGTATTTTCCTGACAGTGGTGCCGCACATCAGGATATTGATCTGCATTTGTGTCTATACATCTATTATCTAACTATACCGGCTATTGTAAATTTTGCAAGCGTGTCTTGTTCTTGATAAGTTACTTTCTGAATCTTTGTATTGCTAAGGTTTGCTTGTTTTGTTTGTTTGTTTATTGTGGGTAACTTCCTTTAATTAAGTTACTGATCTTTGTATGGCAAGTTTACTAACTTTCTTATGGTTGTCTATGCACTTCTTTTTTATTACCTTTGTTCAATTAAGTTCTCTCTTTTATTACACGTCCAGGAATAAAGGCATTCTATTTGTATTTTCGAATCATAAATGCACATTCTGTTTTCATCGTGTTGAAATTTACAGGGTGTCAGGTCAGGAAGAAAGTGATAAGGTGTCAGATGTCAATGTCAGTTATGAGCATCACATTGGTGAGTACTGACCAGATACTCTGCTTTCTGTTATCTCACTCGACCTGCATTTAATAAACTAAAACTGTGATAATGTAATTTTCTGTAAGCCATTTTTGTTCTCATATCATCAGGCGAAAAATCATCAAGCGAACTCGAACCATCTCCAGAGAAGCTGAATAATGAGTGTGATAAAGTGATTAGTGCTGATAAGAGCAGCAGTACTGTTGCTCACGGAATGGCTTCAGAAGGTATTTATGTGGAATTTCACCAGTTTTTTTTTTTTTTTTTTTTTTTTTTGCGCGCTGGGAGGAGGGGTGTCGAAACTTCACCAGTTATTATTTGTCCTTACATTTTCCTGTTCTTTTAACCTTACTGGATTCTGTAAATATCCTAGGTGACAATGCAGTAGAATCGTCAGATCTATCAAATCGTTCAGACAAGGCATCAGCAGATCAAGATATGTAAGTTTCCTGTATATATTAGTTGATTCAGCTATTTTCTATCTGACTTCTAGGATGGTTTATTGATCTGGTGGTCATTTTAGATTTGGAGGATTTCGGATGCTACTGAGGGCCTGTTCGGCAGGACTGAAAAATAAGCAAAAATACTGTTCCGGCTGATTGTTGTGAGAGAAAAATATTGTTTTGTCTGGAAACACTGTTCACGTGAACAGTGATTTCGTGAGTGGGCTGGCCAGCCCGCCAGCCAGCCGAACGCGCCCTTGCTATACATCTTTTCTATTTGTCTTGTTGTATCACCCTCCTAATTAATCTGGCTCTGAACTTTGCAAACTATCTCGCAGTGATGATTCTGGACTTCAGGATGACCTTGCTATTGACTAGAGGAAGCTTCGTGCTACGAGCAGTAGAACAAATTCGCCAACAGATTGTACATTGCCGTTGGATCAAACGTGTGCAGGTCAATGCACTGTGTGCAGTAAACAAAAGCCAGATGGACAGGACGGGAAGCATAGTTGAAATAGGTTCATATAGAAAATATCATTTTACAGCTCATTTTAAAGCAGAAACATATTTTCACAATGTAGGTCTCATTTCGAGAAAAGAGTGATATACTGTTCATGTTATTGCTCAGTTGTTTGACCTCATAAGGGGAAAAAATGTACATTGGTCGAATTCTTGTGCTCTGTTTATCTATGTGTTGGGTCTCTGGCATACCTTCCTGCTTAAACACATAGTTCAATGAATCTGCGATAGGCTGTGCAACTGAGCTTAGTGGGACCATATATAGTTTTGCTCGTCATAATTCTCCGTTAGTTTCTCCTCTCTTCTCTCTCTCTCTTTTGTTTTAAAGAATCAGAGAAGAGCTATTGATTATATTAAAAGGAAATAGAATTTAGATTGAGCAATACAACAAAGCAACGACAACCCGCAAGGGTGGAACATCAACAACAAATAATAGAAGACAACGAAGCTAAAATAACACATGTAAGCAACTATCGGCAAAGGCCATTTGGACCAAGACTTCAACATGCCGCACAATACTACTGCACTATTTCTCCTTTGAGGCAAAACTTTGTTCTATAAAAAAAACTCCATCATTAGAGTTTCATGTTCGGCTGATAAAGTTGGCCAACCTAGTCTTTTGAAAAGCCAATGAATTTGGTAGTTTTATACCGTTATAATAGTAGATGGCTTGTAGTCAACATACTGTCTTGATGCTCTTCGTTTATTTTGTCTGGGTTCCATCAAATGAGCCTAACCAATAATTGGTTGCGATATATTGCAAAATTACGAACAAGTAAGATAAATCAATGAGTTGAGCAAATCTTTGAGTAACAATTGAAATTCCGGTACAGAATAAAACAACGTAGCCATTCACAATACCTTTTTAGGCATGGACACTTCTTTCTTTTAATTAAGAAGTGTAGTGGAACAAATATATGAGTGTAAATTTGGCCACCACGTGTTCCTATGGTCAAGTAAGCCACACCTGATGATTTCAAGAGAATTTCCGCTAAAAACAGATTGATTGGTAGGCCTTGTTTGGCAAAATCACTTAAATTGGGGGATGTTTGGAACCTACTTGAAGCCAAAGGCCGAAATTCAAGTCCACCCTAGCCATAAAAGTCTGACATTTTCTCTTAGAAAAAAAGTGTGTTCCAAACTATTGAATTGCCTATAGCAAATGGCAACAAAAAGTTTAGTTTAACGATAATGCTTCCACGCGGGCATCCGTCTGTCCGGACGCCGCGTGCCACACTCCACCTCGCCGCCGCTTCAAGGCTGCTCATTCCCCCACTGCGACGCGACCACCACGCTCGTCGCGGTCCGCCATTGCTCTTTGTCGCCTGTCATCCGCCCGCCCACACGGATTCGACGCGTTGCATCAGCCCTTTGTTGTGCCCCCATCCTGCCAAGACCGCCTCGCTTCTCCCCATCTCTCGCTCTCTATCTCACGCCCGCCGACAGCAAAGTGTCTCCCCTGTCTCTTCCCTAACCCCAACGCCACCGGGATACCTTGTCGTAGCTGCCCTTGCCGATGGCGCTGGACGCACGTACTGGGGCGCCTCGGGTCGTCCCTGTCTGAGCCAAGGGCACCCACGAGCGCGGTCGGATGGTAGTGGTGCTCGAGCGCCGCTGGCTCCCACCCCGACGAACGAAATCGACCGACCCAGGCCTCCCCTTCCTTATGATGCAAATGTATGTTTCAAACATTTCAGACGGTTCAGAGATATCTTGCATTTGTTTTATATGGCTGATGCAAAAGTAGATCGGGGATGTTGCACATGTTGCAAGTGTTTCAGAGGCATGTTGTAAGCGTTTGTTCAAAATGTTTCATCTGTTCCAGACGTATGTTGCAAGTGTTTTGATCTGAATGTTGTATATATTTCACACATATGTTGCAACAATATATGTTCCAAATGTTTCATCTATTTCAGTCTTATGTTGCATCAAGTGTTTTCACATTGCAAGTTGCAAGTGTTTATATGGTTGTTGCATATGTTTCACACATATGTTGCAAGTGTATGTTCCAGATGTTTCATCTGTTTCAGACGTATGTAGCATTTCAAGTGTTTCATGTTGCACGTGTTTCATGTTGTTCGGAGAGTCAGGGGGCGGGGAGTGATGGTGGCACGACACGGTGAAACGTCCTAATATGGCTAGAGGGGGGTGAATAGCCTATTTAAAAATTCTACCAGGCACTAGAGCAATTGATTAGTACAACAAATGGCGTAATGCAATTTTGCTCTAGCTCTACAAGGGTTGCAAGCCACCTATCCCAATAATTCTAGTTACTATAATCACTAGGCACACACAAGAGCTAAGTCACTGCTCACTAAGCTAGTGTTCTCTCAAGACTAACTAAAGAGCCATACTAACCGAACTAACAAGCTCTCAAAGACTAGCTACACTAAAGAGCTTGACAACTGGTTTGCAACAATGTAAAGGAGGGGATATGATGATTATACCACCGAGTAGAGGAATTGAACCAATTACAATGTAGTCAATCCAATCACCAGGAGAAATCCAATCACACAAGAGACACAAGATTTTTCTCCCGGGGTTCACGTGCTTGCCATTACGCTAGTCCCCGTTGTGTCGACCGACACTTGGTGGTTCGACGGCTAAGAAATGTTGCACGACCCTCGTCCATACAATTGGACACCACAAGAACCTACCCACAAGTGAGGTAACTCAATGACACGATCAATTTACTAGAGCTACCTTGCGGCCCTTCGCCGGGAAGGTGCAAGACCCCTCACAATCATCGGAGCTGGCCATGAACAATCACCAACATGTGTCAAAGCTCCTGCGCTGCTCCAAGTCATCTAGGTGGCGGCAACCACCAAGAGAAACAAGAAATCCGCAGCCACAACGATCCCCAAGTGCCACTAAATGCAATCACTCAAGCAAATGCACCTGGAATCACTCCCAATCTCACTATGATGATAAATCAATGACGGAGATGAGTGGAAGGTGTTTGCTTAGGCTCACAAGGATGTCAAGTATGTCAAAGTATCATGAGAGTGAGCCCCAAGCCGGCACCTTCATATTTATAGAGCCCAAAGACTCAAAGAGTCGTTGGGCACTCTTGGGCTGACCGGACTCTACTGACCGGACGCAGCCCAACGTCCGGTCCACGGATGACTGCCACATAGCCAAGCTTCAAACCTCGCTCGTTAGATCTCAATGGTCAAGTTCCTGTCCCCACGCTGTTAAGTTGTGACCGGACGCGCCTAAGAGAACGACCTGACGCCACGCTACTCAGGGTCCGGTCGAGTCCAGTAAGCACCCCGAGAGGTTTTTCTCGGACCGGATGCGTCCGGTCAAAGATGACCTGATGTGCCCTAGTGTCCGGTCAACACTCAGCTCTTCTCCGCACGCTCACGTTGCTGACGCCAGCGTACGTCACGCTCGACCTGACGCGGCCCCTGCACGTCCGGTCACTATTACTGTGCAGGGTCCGATCGCCACCGAGTATAGCTTCTCTGCGCCAACTGACCGGACGCGCCAGCAGTGTTCGAGCTCAGGGTTAGGTACCGGACGCGTCCGATCACCTTCTGACCAGCGTCCGATCACTACCCCACGCCTCCTTTTCTTTTTCTAAGTCCTCAACCTCTTCACCCTTGCTTCCAAGTTGCTAACCACAAAGTGTAAAACTTGTGTGCACGTGTGTTAGCATTTTTTAAGGATTTTATAAGGGTCAAAGTTAGCACACTAGGTTTCTAAATGCATATGCAAGAATCATGTCACCTATTGACACTCGATAAACCGTTTAGCCAAAGATTTCCCCTCTTTATAGTACGGCTTATCGATTCTAAACGTGATCACACTCTCTATAGTGTATTGATCACCAAAACAAAAATCTATCTTATACCTTTGCCTTGAGCTCCTTGGTTTTTGTTTTTCTCTTTCTTCTTTTCCAAAAATGAAGCACTTGATCATCTTTTGGTCATCACCATCCATCATGATCATCCTCTTGCTCCACCACTTGCATGGGACCATCCTTTCATGTCTACGCACTTAGTACAAGGATTAGTCCCTAGGGTTTCATCAATTATCCAAAAACAAACTAAGGCTTTCACACGGGAGCTAGGGAATGGGATGCGGCGAGCCAGGGGGGCGGTGGACGTGGCGCGCGGTGTGTGATGGGGGCGGCGGTCAAGGCACGACGTGGCAGGATGCGCATGTGGGGCGGGGCGAATGGCCAGACGGATTGGGGCGGGTCGAATCAAGGCGGACATGGCGGATTGCGCGTGCGAGGTGAGTCATCCGGATGTGCGGGCGCAGCGACGGGCGGGGGTGTGTGTGGGGGCGGGCGGGCGAATTAGCGGACAGGATAGGCTGTGCGGGCATCCCGACGCACGCGTCCGTCCGGATGTTCGGGCGCTAGCCATGCCGTTAGTTTAATGAGTAAGATGGGCAAGTCACTTTATATGTCAATACTCCTCTCACATGTAGACTTGCTCAGGCCTCAAATGTGAAAATAGGTAGGAGTCACTTGAATTATTTTAGTCAATCACTGATTCAATCTTGAAACCTCTGGCCTTGGTATTAAGTTGCAACCCAAAACCTGAAACTAATAGGGCATGTGCACTTTATATTTCAACACCAACACTCACTTAGAACTAGAGGCGAAGCTACGTTGTAGTCCCTCCATTCCAAATTATAAAACATTTTGACTTTTCCAGATACATAGTTTTCGCTATACACTTAGATGTATATCGAATCTAGATACATGGTAAAATCAGTGTATTTAGAAAAGTTAAAACGTCTAATTCGAAAAAAGCTTAAACCAATGGAGAATATGATCGATTCACTTTATAGTTTAACGCCAACACTTATTGAAACCCGGGACGAAACTACATTGTGTCACCTGCTGCTGAGCAGGTGGCCGACGGTGAAGCAAACATTTACCAAGTAATCGACTCATTTTTAACCATGCGTTTCTTTCAAAATTGTATATATATGTGATGAAGCGTGCACCATATTTTGACCGTAGTTTGGCCCTGCTTGGAACATTCTCTGGCAGAAGACTCTTCTATGATCTATTTTTCCGTCTGCCTTGTTATCTAATCTGATCAACTATAAATTTCTATTGTATACTCCCTTTATTCCAAATATAAGATGTTTTGGTTTTTCTAGATACATAGTTTTGCTAGATATACATTATGTTTATATATATAGTAAAAACAATGTATCTTGAAAAGTCAAAACATCTTATAATTTGAAACGGAGAGTATACTACACTTACTACACTAGAACGGAAAGAATACCTTCAAATACTATCCACTATAAGGTCCTTTTTGTTTCGACTTGAGGGATAATTTTTTCGCTATCTTTTTTCTGGGGACTACCTAAGGGTCTGACTGAAAAATAAGATAATTTAATTGAAGGAAAAATAATAAGCCCCCCTAGATAGGAGTCCTCGTGATCTCTTAATTGTTGAGAGGGTTGGCCAACTGCGGTATATGACATATCCAGTAAAAGCTTACAAGAAGCTAAGCATATGTGAGTTTTCCTGTTCTAGTTCTCCTGTGGTATCTGATCTGATCAACTATCGACTCAATGGATGCTTTATTGATCTGGTGTGCACGTCATAGGATCACAAGTGCTAATCGCTCTGGTCTGTGACTTCGAAATTCTGTCGGAGGAGCCTCAGCAATGCCTTTTTTTTCCCTCTCGACGGAGGAGCCTCAGCAATGCCTTCCCAGCAATGCCTATTTTCTTAGGAAAGGAAACAGGGTAGAGTTCAAATAAGACAGGAATTGAAGTGAAAACTGATACGCCTTGAGTGGCAGGCACCCATTACGCTGGTACTGTCGAAGTTGACAATAGCACCTGGTACAACAGTTATTCAACAGCCTCCACCAGATGATGGACTAACTTTAATAGAATATTGGAGTAGATCCCAGCTACACTATTGCGTATCATTAGGCCACAAAAGACAGTACATCACAAAGAGTTCTAACACAACCACCATGAAATGGTAGGATGTACAAGCTGCCTATGATTCATGATAACAAGCCTTACAAAAAGGAAACCTCAAGGTCAAACAGCATTACAGAATTACAGCAGCACAGAAGGCTGCCTGTAATGGCACTCTTACACACAGTTAGGCTACATTTTTCTAACGTAGCATTTTGTTCAGTAGTTGTAGTTAATAGTAACTAGCAATCAAGGCGAGGTACTCCTAGAACTAGATAACCAAGTGTCCCTCCAACCATTCTGGCAACTGGCATAATGCATTTCTCTTAGATTGTCATCCATTTGCAACTGATTGAGGGAATTCGATGAAGACTTTCCACCTTTAGACAGGTGATATGAACAATAAGTATAAGCTATAGTTAGTGATGTAGTATAAACCCAGTGAGCATCAGGCACCAAGTCAGCAACAAGCCCTTCCTGAGAACAGTGAACTAATCAGTACTATGTAAACTGTTATCAAATAAACCCTAAAAATCAGGAAGAGATCATCTTACTGTTAGGAGCACGGGTTCAAAAGAAACTCATTCCCACCACCTAGGCATCTACCGTCTTGAGACTAGTGTTTTCCTTCCAGACTTCTCTGCAAAACCTGTTAGCAGCAACCTCTGTCTGAATGTGTGGTATGTCTCCAAGCTAGTCCCAGCCCACCTCTGGCAAAAACGCTCATCTGTAGGCACAAAGGAGCTCAGAGGAAATGGACCCTTTGGAGCTTTCTTCAATGAAACCAGAAAACGGTGGCGGGGACGGATTCTCTGATCAAGAGACAAGCTCAGATACATAGGATATTTCGTTAAGGATTGAACCTCATTCTTGAGTTCATTGACCAAGTAAAGATACTTTGGCTTGAGATTGTCCTCCAATGACAAAGATAACACCTGACATGGAATGTGCAACAGTACATATACCATGAGACACATGTTCAATGAATAATGAACATAATTGAAAAAGGAAAGCAAGAATAGAAATAATGGGGAATGATGACATGAGTGAAGTAATAATACCTGAGTAAGACTTGTCAATACTTTGAGAATGTCAGAGTTTCTCATACCAATGCTTCTCAGGAAATTTATTCGAGGTAAGATTCCATCCTCAATGCTGTAGTGAAGCAGCTGAGGGTGCTTTGTGACCATCTTAACAATGCTATCTTTGGGTGCGCCCAGTTCTTTTGTCAGGAAAAGCGATCGAGATTTCCATGCACTATCAATTTTCTGCACCAGAATCTGTGGGCTTAGCTGCACTACTTTCCCAACATCACTCTCCTCAATACCTACTTCCTCAATCAGATACCTTACTGTTGGCTTCAGAGACTGCTCCACACTGTAAGAGAACATCGAAGGAGCAGCAGAAACAATTTGTCCTATTCGTGTATTCGGAACTCCAATGCTCACGAGAAAATCAACATGAGATTTCAGATTGCCAAGGGTGTATTCCAGAATCTGTGGCTGCCTGACCAGTATCCTCTTCATATCCTTGCTTTTAACCCCAGCACTTAGCAGGAAATCCAACCTTTCTTCTGCTGAAGCCTGACTGATTTGAAAGCAGGCCATGTGTCTCTCATAGATGTAAGTAAAATGAGACTCCTTTAGCCCAAATGTGCACAAGTAATCAATCAGTGGTAACCATTTGTCATCAAAGTCATACTCTTCTTGTAATTTCTGGAACAGACTTCGAGAGATACTTGCATTTTTCAACTGCAACAACAAACAACGTTAACTCAGTGCACCCCAAAATCAATAATATGGACAGCTTACATTTACATGCTGAGTAATTTACCTCAACTTCACTATCCATGTTCTTAAGATCCATTGATGGTCGTCCCACTTTACTCCTAGGATACAGGGACTTACTTTTTCCTGGACTGCCGTAGTTATCACGAGTTTTGGGTTGTCTTCCTTCCCAGTTTTCTTTTACCAGTGGAGGTTCTAGTTCTGGAGAATTAGAGTTTAAGTACCAAGTAACCACTGTTTCTAAATAGATTTAGCATAGTTCTTAAGATACCTTGTCTCTTGCTTGAAGCACGAGGGCTGTTTGAATAAAGTACACCAGGATATTCCAAACCCGACATGTCATCCTGAAAAGGAAACCAAGCATAAAGTTAGGATAGTAGATATAGATTTAAAGAACTAATGATAAGATTCCAATGTTACGTTCCATGGACAAATAAACAACAGGATATAAAAACACAATGTTTTTCCATGTTCAACATATGCCTGTCATGTAATTCGAATTCAGAATTCAAAGATCTAATTTTATTGGGGTGCTCAGTGAAACATATGCATTTCAAGCTCCCAGTCAGTCATTCAGTGGTTACTGGAACACAACGGAGAAGTACTACATTCATAATGCATGCATATAATCTCTCTTTTTTTTTAATATATACATATGGACTATGTTGGACTGATATTCAGTAAAAATGTGTTGTTGATCAGTTACGGACATTCAGTTAAAATCTTAGCTAATCCTTTGAGCCATTATAGTGTTCCGTCACACTGCAGGGAGATATTTTTTTAACAGAGGTAACCTGACTTTTATAGAAAGCAAATGAAGGGAGACACTCTCGCTCCATATTCAAATATCTTCTGAAGAATATAGTGTTTGCAATATAGGTCACTGGGATTGGGGGGCAATCTGCCATTTATGCAGCTTCATACTTCGAAGCCTTAATCTGTTGATGCTGATTTTGAGGAACACCGACCAGATGCTAATGATCAGACAACAATCACGTCACACTACCTATTATTCACAATATGGCGCAGCTTGGGGGAACAGAGAGGACACCAGTAATGAAGACAAACAATTGTACACCAGAGAAACATGTTGGAAGGAAAGTGCAGGAGAACGCAAACAGCCAAACACTACAAAGTCAGTAGTTCCAATCCTACAAGCCGAACCACATAAGTGGCAAAATGGCAGCTTAAACCTTACAGGTCACTAGATTTTAGGTAATTGTACCATCATGGTTCGTGGCGCGCCTATACAAGGACACCCGTTTAACTCATTCAGCTCACCGTGAGAGCTGTGTATTGCACATGTGAACCGCAAAATAGCAAAAGTCTTGTCCAAATACTGTTATTAATATGGCATTTCTAAGATGATATGATCCAATGCTGGCAGGGATCAGGTATTCTATCAAGCAAACCTATGTGGACGATAAGTGAGGAATGACTGCTAGCAAATTGGCAACGGGGTTAACTTACATCGCTCTCGTAGCCCTCGTCATCATCGTCTTCATCGAACTCCGCCTCCTCCTCATCGTCCTCGTCGAGGTCGTAGTAGGGGTCCCGGAGCGGCGGACGCGGCGGTTGGGCTTGATGAGGCGCACGTTGGTCTGGAGCGAGAACGCGACGCCGCCGGCGCGGGCGTGAAGGGCGGTCGCGGAAGCGGAGGCGCCATGGGCCGGGGAAGGGAGGAGGATGGAGGGCCGGGCGGCGGCGAGCGGCCGCGGCAGCGGCAGCTGCAGCTGCAGCGCCATGGAGCGAGCGAGGGGGGATTGCGCGTACGGCGCGGCCTTGGATTTTTATTTTTGGATTATTTCTGCGGCGGCGGGGGTGAGGGATCGGTGAGGGGGGTCCGTTTGGATGGGGACGAAGGAAGAATCTTGCGGGGCAGACTGACACTGACGTGGAGCGCTGCGGGCAGCGGATGAGAGGAATCGCACACGGGAGCCGGGAGGGGATGTCAGGAGGGTTTAACGCTACTGGGCCGGATTGCACAAGCTTGGGCTGCCAGTTGCGGTGATGGGCTGCAATTTGGGCGGCGGACTCAAGTCGCATGGTATAGGCTACGGCCCTTTTTATACCACGGTCTAAAGTTTAATTGGGTGAAACTAATAAAAGACTAAATTTTAGATCACTTTGGCTCACTTATGTGATTTAATAATCTCAAAAAAACTTGTATGATTTAATAAACTAATGGATTTTTGTGGAGTTGTCTAATTTTTAGACATAACTTTAGACCTTCTTTTAGAGTTTCCAGTGCTAAAGTGGTTTAAAGTTTAGTGCCCTATATGATTTGTTGCATGTTTGGATTATGAAACAAATAATCTTCTTTTTCCTTATACAAACACCAAAGCCAAATCTATATCTATACCTATATATTTGTTTATAACAACATTAGAGTTCTTTAGATAATAGAAAATAGTTTTGGCTTCAGGCTTCTTTGGAAAAAAACATCGGTCCACGTAGAAAAACAAGAAAGCACACCCATCGTTAAAACTTTTTACCAAGCTCTGAACTAGAGACTGAGAGGGTACACAAAATAACATACATTAGGCGCGAAAAACTACATGACACTTATTTCAAGTAATTTGCATGCCTCACAAATTTAATCTTTGCAATCATCCGAGGGCTGTGAGCGAGACTAGAACCGAAGTTAGTGTGTTCATCTGAAGAGAACCTACAAAAATGTTTCTAAGTGACCATTGTTAGTTCCTTATGTACCGAACTGTCCAGCAACGGGAAGCAACCCCAGTCAATAATAGGTAATATGGAACCAATGTAAACTGCTTGTTGGTTGTTTGAAGCCAAACACCAAATAACCCGTTTGCCATAGAATCAATCATGATGACACTAAAAAATGTTAAATCATTTCAGACTTACTACAGAGGCAACGAATCTTACTCTCTTCCAATTTCTTTTAGCTAATATTATCCTTTGTAAGTAACACAACATTTTTTTAAATGCCATAGAAAAATATTGATTTTTAAGGAAACTATCATATGCCAAATTTCTTGCAGAACATTTAAGTCCATTAACAACATAAAAGATAGAAAGAATTCTTCTGTTCGTGTTTTTTCTTCTCACAATATTCTCATTGTCCTATACGTGATCTAGACTAACCATCCATACTTATACAAGTTATATTAACACACGTCCAGCCTTGGTATCAAGTCCTATTCTACGACGTATTGAAAAAGATAACTTCCAGTGTGAGATGATATGGATGGTTTGCATGTTAATATAGAACTTTTAGTGAGAACTAGCTTTATAAGAGATATATAGATGATATAGATATAGATTATTAGGGTTTATTAAGCCACCATTTAGGATTGTAGCTACAACTAAAGCTAGATGCGCCGCTACTACAGGCGGGCTATGGAAGAGGACCATGGCATTAATCTATGCTTCCTAGAAGCCATATGTGGCTATCTAAATGCATCACGTACGGACCTATTTAGCATAGTATCTACGAGATATGTAGAAGATTTAGAGTTTGTAATAAAATAAAAATTGCACTTTGAACATATTTGTTATTACATTCAAACAAAATTGCTTAGCTGAATATATATACTACTTTCAATGCTCACAGCTCTAGCTCCAAAAACATTTAGAACTATATATACGAGCAGCTTAAAAAAATTTCTCGACGCTGAAAGTGCCTCAAACATACTCTCAGGTTTAACCTTGTCGAGAACCGTTTGACAAGATCTTTCGAAAAAGAGAACTGTTTGACACTTCCTTTTTCTAAAAAAAAACTAACCATTTCCTTTACATGCATTTGTACCGTATTTTGTCATGGTACGCTAACCAAAAGCATCAACCGTTTATGGCGAAACCTTTTATCACTTACGTTGAGAAGGAAAACTATTCCTTTCCTTTACATTTGTACTACTTTATCATGATACACTAAGCATGAAAGTATCAACCATGGCTATGTATGCACAAAAACAAACTTAAATGAAACATAATAAAATAGAAAAGTTAACGTGCCAAATCGAGAGAACCGTAGTATGTCGTCAGTAACGGTACACCCAATGGCTGAGTCATTAGAGCAGGAATAGTGACGGCTATCAAGTTAGGTCATTTTGGATCTCATTCTCTAGACTTTAGAGCTCTAAACTTTAGATGGTAGTTTAAAGTTAGCTCTAGACTTTAGTATGCCTCACATTAGAGCTATTGATCTCAAAACTGAGCTAAAGTGTTCTAAAGATTTAAGAGCTCTAAAGTTTAGAGGAGGGGATTCAAACAAGCCCATGATGGCAAGGGTAGCAAGGAGGCTACTATGGATGGGATATATAGCCAGGCTAGGATCTCTCCATGAAGGACGGGAGCAAGGGAGGCGGATGCAAGCACTACGTTTGTCCTGGAAAAAAAATACAATCATCGCATATCGAAAAAATAGACACACAACAAAAGAATACACATGTCTCTACTCTTTTTCTTATCTCTACATATGTCAATGGGACAAAAGTAAATGATTGTATCTATAAATTTTATGTTTTGTTTCATATGTCTATAGGCAAACACTTAGCATCTCTATAACGGGTTTTTATTCTTTCTATAATTTTTTTGCTCTCTCCATGGAACTTTGTAACCTTCTCTCTTTTAATAGAAATTGACACAACTAGTGCCTATTCGTTAAAAAAATCATAAGGCTAGAGTTATATATATTTTTGGACAATCTATAATAAGTCATAGAATTGCATCCTTTTCTAGAGGGAGCAAGAGAAATGACATGATTGACAGAGGAAGAAGTTGACCAACAGAAATGGAAGAAAAAGACTAAGGTACTACGAGCAATCACACATATTGATATAAATAAATAACTACTTCTAATTTGCCACAACTAATTTAGGCAAGTGTGGCTAGAAAATGTAGAGCCACACTTCATACCATGCATATAGAACCTAAAAAATATTATCTAAATTTAGTTGCTCACTAAACACACTTGTCAACTTTGTCAAACTTGTCTAATGAAAAGTGTGGCAAAGTAGCAACCAAACACCCACATATAAAATAGAGATGCGCCAAACAAAATACATTCCTCTCTCTCTCTCTCTCTCTCTCAAAAGGATTTGAAAACGCAAAGTCTCCTACGCGACGGGCCGCGCTCGGAGCCGAGCGCGCGACGCCTGCGACCGCGCCCACCGAAGACGAAGAACAAGACGGCGGAAGCTAGGGTTCCAGTGAGGAGCTCACCAGCGTCGGAGACGAGGAGTTCACCGGCGTCAGGTAAGGAGATCTATTCCCCGTCGGCCTTAGAAGGGGGGTTTGGGGTGCGGCGGCCGCGACATAGTGGTGGGGCAATGGAAGAAGGCGGTTGGGCGGGGCTGGCGACAGGGCAGTCGTCAACGACCTATCCTGGTATTAGGGGAGGGTGGGGGAGGGGACGACGGAGTAGGAGTGTCAGGGAGGGAGAAAAAGACGAGTGGATAGGGCGTCACGGTAGAGAAGATGATTGCGCGATATCGGCCTTTATTTCTAAAGGATTTCTAAAGCAGCTCAATTCTCATATGATATCAGGAGTATAATCACACCTTCCAAATTAAAAGGGCCAAACTTATTGTCGACAGATCTTGAAAGATACGGCCAATGTCCAAATTGTATCAACATTGATTGCGTGGACTCTCACATGGAAAGTACTGAAACGTCGATGACCAAGAATAGAAAAGGATATGCATGTCCATCAAAACAAACCGATTTTTTCTTTCGGAAATAAAAGATTTTTGAGGGATCACGCCACGGGATCATCACTCCCACTCATCGGCTGCCTCGTTTGGCTGGTACCACCAGAGTCCACCCTCCACCGCGCAGGCGGCAGGCAGCGCCGCAGCAGGCAGTAACGCGCCACGGCTCACGAGTTGGGCGCAGGCACCAGATGGTGTGGCCCACAGGAGCCGCGAGAGGGTTCTCCGGCCCGGGTCAACAAAACCCGACGGCGCGGAGCAGCCCGGCACTTCACACACCTCGCGCGCACAGTCACTGTCTCGCCTCGCAGTCGTACTCGCACAGTCGCACACGCCCGTCCCCATCTCTCCCGGTCTCGCCCTCCCCTCCGTCGCCCGCCGCGTCCGGCCGCGGCAACCCGACCTGCATCAATCGCCATGGTGAGCCCGCCCTCCCTCGGTCCTCTGCCGTCGCGTATTCGGTCGTTATTTTTTTCTGTCCCTTGAAGAATCACAGCGGGGATGAGAAACGCTTGTTCGGCTTGGCTAGAACAATCCGAGTTGTTTTCTCGCAGATCAGCGTGCGATTGGATCCTCGCTGCCCTCTAAACGTCGAGTTGTTGTACTCTGTCGCTGATCCGTCCTCGGCTGGACGGCACCTTTGGTGAATATTGTAATGCGTATGTATACTCTAGGTCCTGTGTGGTGTATATAATTTTTTTGTGCGTGGGAAGAATAGAAGATTCGCTCAGAAGAATCTGATCTAGATTTTTAGAAGGATCCATCTGCAATTTTTTTTTATTTCTGGCAGACTCTACCTTTCTGTCCCTTGTTTCTGTTTATTATAGGCAAGATTCTGATTCTGTGAGTATGAGAGTATCAAAGGAATCCAGGTTACAATTCAAAGGTGAAGACACTTATTTTACGGGTCAAGAGCGGTTTCATCTTTGTGGGAACGTTGCATAAAGATCTGCGTAAAAGTTATGCACGAATGCCATGTGTATTCCTATGAATTCAGTTAGTCATCTACGTTCTTCATAATTTTCTTTAGCTCAAACGTTGCCTTTTATGTTTTGCTTTATGTGTTCTTCCCATTCAAGGTTCAGAAAATTGGCGGCAAGTGGTAATAGGTCATTAATTTCTGGCTCGCAAAATGCCAGGTTTGGTCGTTTGGGATACCGACTAGCCATGTGTTGTTTTTTTCATATCGTGAATCACGTGTGCTGGTCAGCTGGTGTAGGATAAGTTTTGCATCATGTTTGCATGCAAACACATGATTCATAGCTATTTTTGTTTTTTATTGACAAGTTGATTTGCTTGGGCTTTTTGTGGGCTAGCCATTCTAATAGTCGTATATGATAGTAGAACAATTTCATGATTTATGAATCGCAAAATGCCAGGTTTGGCCATTTGGGATACCGACTAGCCATGTGTTGGTTTTTCATATCGTGAATCACGTGTGCTGGTCAGCTGGTGTAGGATAGGTTTTGCATCATGTTTGCATGCAAACACATGATTCATAGCTATTATTGTTTTTTTTTATTGACTACTTGATTTGCTTGGGCTTTTTGTGGGCTAGCCATTCTAATAGTCCTATGTGATACTAGAACAATTTCATGATTTATGAAGATTTTCATTTGTCTCTTTAGGACACTTTCCAGTTTCCAGAGGTGATGGAGAGTACTAATTTGCCATGCTTTAATTAGGACTCTATTATATTCTGAACTTGAAACTTGTTTCTGATAACATGGAACGGTTACAGGTTCGTTTTTGGCAGCACCAATTAAAAACTGTGGGCTCAATGTTCTTATTTCTCATAAGAGTTTGCAGTATATTTCTTCTAAGCTTTTAACAACGAATCTAAACTTGGTTAGGCTTTCAAATTCTAAGTTTCAGTGGCATACCAATTATTATCTTTTAGGGAAATGGAAATTATATTTTAGTAGCATACCTCTGATTTTCAAAATGATAGGACAGATCTGAGCAAATCTGTCAATGGCACTGTAGGGCTTTGCACATCAATTATCCTTTTTCTGAAGTAACTGAAATACAGGGTGTGTAACATATTTGTTTAAGTTACTGTTCCTGTGCCATGTTAATTTGTATTTCAGTTCCTTGGCACTGCACTGACCAAATGCAGTGTTTCTTTGTATCATTTCTTTGGACCTGTTCTTGTCACATCATGTGGAATAATTTTTTTATATGATTCTGAACAGACTACCTCGAGGCGTCTTGCTGATAGGAAGATAGCACGATTCGAGAAGAATATTACAAAGAGGGGCTCTGTTCCTGAGACAGTCAAGAAGGCAAATGATTATCCTGTTGGGCCTATTCTTCTTGGGTTCTTTGTCTTCGTTGTCGTTGGATCATGTAAGTCCTTATGTTTCTGATGTTTTGTGGTTGATGGTCTTCCTGGATACTCTTTCGCCTTTAACAGCTGAGTGCATCTGCTATCTGCCATCCTACCAAATCAGCTCGGAGCCATCTGTTCCAATATTTCGATCATCACCAATCCTAACACAGTTTCTCGTCAGTTGTTATTTGTATTACAGTAGCATGCTTATTATTTTGAAGGGTAATGCTTTATGTGCCTTGGCCAGCTAAATTCTGATATATGGCTGCGTCCAGTGTTTCTTTGCAAAGTAATTAGCACTTCTGTGCTTTGAATTCTGAATTTGGAAGTTTGCACTGATTGAAACTAAAATGGTCTCATGGTTTACTCTAGATGTATTGGCTAACAACCATAGGCATTAGCTGTTCCACTCTGATAACGACTTACAGTAGAATAGAGAAGTAAAAAAAATTGCAGAGCAAAGGTTTTATGTCACCATAGTTATATACTTGCTCAATCAAATATCATGACTTTCAGAGAATTGTCAGTTTCATGTAGCCTGATCAGTTTTCTTACCCTTTTGTTAGAAGCAAGTTTATGAGCTATTTGAATTTGCGTCCGAGTTATTAACTCTCTTCTTCATGCAGCTCTCTTTCAGATCATCAAGACAGCATCAAACGCTGGTCTATTCTGAGGAGAATTGGGCATTTACTTATAGTCCCTCGTTAAAGTCGAGGAACAGGGTTGACATATGCAGTTTGTCACTTAGAAACTATACAAGTGTATGGTGTAGCTGATACTCTATAATGTCGCCTTTTTAATGTTGTACCGTGGAGAGTTTTAAGTTATAATAGACTCACCATATATATGTAATGGAAGTGCTAATTTAAGTCACTTGGCTGACAGGAAAGGTGTTGAAGTAATCCATAATACATATCGAGTAAAGTTATAGTTCGTGTTAAATATTTTTAAGCTCAAATTGGTCGTAGCATTGGGGTATCGTACTCTTTAATTTATCGACTAATCTGGTAATCTTTCGCAAAATTTCATCTTGGGTTTGCTCCCAGCTCATGAGAGGTTAGTATGGTTTGCATTCTGAATTTGTGTTTGTTATTATTTATATCCTAGGGTCAACCTCAAAGAACGGTTTGCCTTGCAGCAGACTTACATTGCGACTTTCATTGCGTAGGTACAGTTAATCTTGGCTTCGTAGGCAGCTTTTGACTTTGCACATGTTCGAAAGAACATTGTCACTTTGTCAGTATAAATACAGTACTCCATCTATTCTAAAATATGTTTCACTTTGGTTTTATTTTAAATCAAACTTCTCTAACTTGGATTAATATTTTTAAACAATATCTTAACACTTCTAATGTAAATATTCGATGTGGTAGATGCTGGGTGCATTTTTCCTGTAATTTTAGTTGAAGTTGAGAAAATTTGAGTTTTTGACTAAAGACAAATACAAAGTGCAATGTAATGTGGAACCAAAAGTGCATTTGTGCCCTGTAAAGGCCCACCGATAGTTGCATCCTCTGTGCGGCATGCTGGATGCACACTTTGTAGCTACACCTAAACTCAGCAAGAATCGACGTGCACATGATCACTATGAGAAACGATGTTGAGCAGAAGCGATGTTGAGCCACAACTCTCCAGCTCTCCTAGTAAAATGCAAATATTGCGTCCTGGCAACATGAAAGGGGCTTCAGATGCCCTCGTCACCAAAGTCCGTAAAATTTTGGCGCACCGAGGTTCCAGAGCCTGACCTGACTGACGATTTGTTCGCCCGTAACTCGGATACCTGTTACCCCCGATGCCCTAATCAACAAACTGTCGAGAGTTTCTTGGGCGTGGTTTATGCTACCTCCTGCCGATAAATCTTGCAATTGCAAACCCTAGTTCTTAATAATGAAGCCGAGGGTCATAGAGTGATGCTGAAGGTCAATTAGCATCGGCCAAATTTCAACCACCTTCAGAAAATGGAGAGCTGATCGTTGTGGAGACTGGAGAGATTGTTTCGCAGCCAAAGCCAGGTAAATTTCTTCTTGGGATCCAACAATCTTCATGAGGAACATGGTTCCCCTTCCCTGTCTTTTGTTCTTCTGCATCTGCTGGTTCCTGTCTACGTTTGTGGAAGACGCCAATCAAAACTGCATCGCTTTCTTCAGAACAATCTGTAGGCTAACCCGTTTTCGGATTCGAGATATCGAAGTAGCTGCAGTGCGTTCGATCAACAGTTGCAGTTGCAATTCTCCTTCAAGATATCATCATGCAACTGCATACACTCGCCTCTTGTTCTTGATCCATCGCCTCACATGAACTCGCGGTATGCAGAATGCCTGGCAAAAGTAGCACCAGAGACGGGCGTTCGCCAGATGCGGTGAAGCCCATGAGGCGTCCTCTCAACAAGTACCCCTTCTTCACCGCCTTGCTTTCGTCGGCCACGCCTCTCTTCTTGGGCTACGGTGAGTATCAACTCATACAAGGTTATAACGAACTCAGATTGAAATTCTGAATTTTGATACGATGATATCTGACTGAAACAAATGGTCTCATAACCCCAAAGCAGCGAATTTAATTTGTTTGTGCTATCTCATTTCTTTTGAGGAAATTGTGCTATCTCATTTCATCTTGTCTTGGTGCAGACCTCGCCATCGTTTACAACACGATCGTCAGGGCGCAGGGCGACCTGAAGCTCCTGGCGTGCACCGTCGCGCTTTCCTCTAGCCTCGGCATGATCGCGGCCGTGGGAGCGCAACGCCTCATCGGAGACCGACGGACCGTGCTCCTCTCCGCCGCCGTGCTCTGCGCCGGCGGGATCGCCCGGGGCCTCGCCGCCGGCTTGGCGCCCTTCACGGCCGGCGTCTTCGTCAACGGCGTCGGGATGGGCCTTGCGCTCACGGTCGTCCCAGCCTACGCCGCGGGGCTCAGCCCGTCCTCTCCGCGCCGCGTGCTCGCCGCGCACCCTGACGGATTAGTGTACCTCGGCTGCATCCTGGGGTCGGTCGTCTACTCCATGGGATTCTTGAGGATT